TTCCCCCTCGTCCTGTCACTATCAACCCACGTAAATAAGTCACTCCTGTTTATAAGCTCCCTCCAAGCACTGGAAGGCCGCAGTGAGGTTTCCCCAGAGCTTTCTCTTCTCCACGCTAAACCAGTTCCCTCAACCTTTCTTCATAGGAGAGCTGCTCCAGCCCTCTGATTATCTTTGTGGCCCTGCTCTGGATTTGTTCCAGGAGCTCCACATCTTTCTTGTGCTGGGGACCCCAGGCCTGGACACAGTACTCCAGATGGGGTCTCACAAGAGCAGAGTAGAGGGGAAGAATCACTTCCCTCTCCCTGCTGGCCACCCCTTTTTTAATGCAGCCCGGGACATAGTTGGCCTTCCAGGCTGCAGGCACACACTGCTGGCTCGTGTCCAGCTTCTCGTCCACCAGGACCCCCAAGTCCTTCTCCACAGGGCTGCTCGCAAGGAGTTCTTCCCCCAGTCTATGTGAGTACCTGGGATTGCCCCAGCCTTAAAATGATATACAATTTGATTGAAAATAATGCTTCCTGCTGCCCTGAGTCTTACAGCTGTGTAATTCTGGTAACTGGTTCTATGTTCTTTGAGTTGTGAAAGCTACTTTCAGATCACACTAGAGCATAAAACTTGTTTTAAACAAATGTGCTCTATCACAGGCTCTTCAGTCTTTTTCCTTGAAGAATGAAAGATCAGAATCAACGACAACTAAAACAATGTTATACAAGAATATCAGAAGTTCAGCACCTTTACAAAAAAAGAAATCTTCACATGGTCTTCATGGGGTGGTTAGAAGTTCTGGGTATGGGAAACCCACTTCACTCTCAAAACAGTCTTTTCCAGCTCATGAAAAGAAAACACCAAAAGAAACTTTCAATAAGACCAGTGTGAAAGCCAAAAGTCCTGCAAATAGAGGAAGATCTAAAGGTAATTCTATCATAAGAAGTCTGAGTTTTAAGAGCCAGAGAGTTTTGTTGTTCATGCTTCACATTTAAAAAAAAAAAAGAAAAAACAACATTTCAAAATGTAGAAGAAATCTAAACCCAAATGCAGTTAAGTGCTGAATTTTTCCTGTATCAGCATGAAGTTGCTGGAAGAGAGACTTTTAAATAAAGCTTGGCACTATAGTCTAGTTTCATCTCCACTCACATATACCACCACTGTGTTTGAGACTTTACCTACTGTTCACCAGTAGGACCAAAACAAAAAAGCTGGTGTTCAAAAATAAGTATCTACAAGTTACATTTTTCATTATAGCAAATGCAAAGATTTGCTGACACACTAACTTCTGTGTGTGATGCTGAATTTCTATCCTCAGCTGCTTCTTCCTGTCTTTGCTTTCCTGGACTACAAAGAAAGCACTAAGAAGAGAGTCCTATTTTCTGTCCCTGGCAACACTAAGGAAAGGAGAATACAAGTGTAGTCCTGTGAAAGCTGAGTTGCAAGTAAAGGAATGAATGTTTTTATTTTTGGGTGAAGCCTGAAGAGTTTCATGAGATAATTCAGCTTAGGGACTTTGCAGACAGTATTTGCTATTTCTGAGGCATGGGAAAATAAGTCTACAGATGCCCAGGTTTTAGCACACTTCTAGCATGTAATGCTTTTAAAAACCCTGCAATTAGTGTTGGGAAAAGGGGTTTAAGATTATGTTGCCTGTCTTAGGGAGGTGCTTCAGTGGCAGCTGTCACACTAAGGGACCTTAGTTCCTCAGTGCATTGCTGTGGTGCTTCCTGGAGAAGAGGAGGGTGTGCAGCCAGATGGAGATGGTGAAGTGAATGATGAGTCCTGAAAAAATGAGGCCACTAGCCTCATTCAAACATGTTCTTCCCTCTCTAGCTGTAACCATTCTCCATAGCAGTTTGAGGTGACTTCAGGAATTAATCTCACCAGGATGCATTCTGCAGGGACCTCTCTAGCTGGGAAGATAATGTCATTGAATCAAACACTCCCCTAATCATCAGTGCTGAGGGAGCACCTTTGTGAGAGGGTAGCATGAGAAATGTAAAAAGTATTTTTTGTTTTCATGTATAACATTCCTAAGCAGGAGCTCTTAGCTTAAATTGTTATAGGCAGAAATGAAATGGTAGTTGTAGTTACTGTCTGGTTTTCAGAAGACTAAGGTATGAACAGTTCCATCTATGTTAGTTACTCTCTAGGGGGAACTTCCCTGATTTTTAATTTCTGGTCAAGTTGCTATTTGATGCAACAGATAGGTATTGCGTGTCTTTGTATGCTGCCTGTGCTCCAACGTCCATTTTGAAACTTAATGTCTTATCTTCACTATCACTTAAAATAGGATGTATTTCTGTATACTCACATAACTTGCTACTTCTTGAGCAGAAAACTGAGGTTAACCTTGTTTCATGAAGAATTATTTATCCAGCTACTTGTTTCAGTTGTTCCCTTGGGTTTTTTTTTATCTTGTCATTCTTTCCTTACTTAAAAAAAACCCACAATATTTTCCATAATGTCTTATTGCTCTCAAGTTTCTATATTTAATTCAAAATTCAGGTTGTAGAATACTTAATTTATGTGCTTAAGGGGTGGATCACGTAAGTAGGTTTTTTTTGAAAGGACATTAAAGTCTGAATTTAATTTTGTTATATTTTACTTTCTGCCTAAATGAAGAAGCCTTGTTTGCTACTAGGATAATAAGATCTGCAAGAAATGAACCAGCTTCGAAGGGAAGTATTAGCAGAGTTATGTCTGGCCAATCAGTTAATGATCTTGGACACCAGGCTGTGGATCATTGCGGGCAGTATCAGCATGTAAGTAATAACCAGTGATGCTCCTAATTCTAGTGTGTACAACCTTGCTTGCAAGCCTATTTTGTCAAGAGTTTTAATAATTATCACAAGATTGGCAAATGCTGAAATATTGAATGAAGACTTCCCTTTAGTCAAATACTAGTTTTGGCTTTTAAAATATTCAAGTGTCATCATACTGTTTTTCAGTTGCTTGGATAATTCCGTTACTTGGCTGGTTCTATATATTTAAGATTGGAATGCTTATTAATTTCTAAAACTTACTATTTTGTGATAGAAAAGGGGAAATTTTAAATAAAACTTTTAAGTAAAAGTTTTCTGTTATGAATGTTAAATAGGACTACTATTTGGGGTTTTTTTTTCTATTTGCATTACACTGAATATATAATAGTAACTTCTGACTTCTCCAAGATGAATTTGCAGTACCGTGATGGATTTTCCTTCTCCCTTATAAACCATTTAAAAAGTTATTAATTGAGTACCTAAATCATTACTGCTTTTGAAAAAGTAAGATGCATAATAGAATAATTCTGGTCGCTGTGTAGTGGCTGTCACGTGAGCGGTGTTTGTTTCTTGTTGGTTTTTTTGGTTTGTTTTCCTCATACCTATTTCAGAAATGAGAAAGTGGCTCATTAAAGTAAATGCAGGATGGTTTACTATTAGAATGTTGTGGTTTTTTTATTTTCAAGTGCCTTATGTGGTTGCCAAGAGACAGACAAGCAGTTAAATAAAACTGATGAGCAGAATTTTTGGTAAGCAATCAGCTTGGTGTAATGTTTGCCTGAATTTTTCTCTTCATTAGGATTTATCATTTTCTCCTATCAAAAGCTATGATAGAGAACTATATTTGCTAAAACGAGTGCAAGTTGCAGAGGAGGACCTGAACACAGCTCGTGATTTGATTCAACAGCTAACCAGCACGGTTTCACAAAAAGAGAAAGAAATAGAGACAAAGATAGTAGAATTGAAAACACAGCATGAAAAAGAGCTTTCTCGGCTGGGTCAGGAAAATTATGTTCTTCAGAGTAAGGTACTTTATCATCTTGTATCCCACTACTACAGAACAGGAGAAACATTGCTTCTGAAAGTGAAATTAATGTTATTTTCCATGAGTTGTTAATGAGCAGAAAATCCATATTTACTTGCACACTGCTAGTTTGTAAATGCATACCCACTGTTACATTTATTGCCCAGAAGACATGATCTTTTTTTTTTCTATAAACTATGTTATCCTGAGTTCCTTTAGTTTGCTGTTTTGAGAGTTCTGCAGTCTTTTTGCAAAGATTTAACTCAGTCTTATGTTAAAAAAAAATAAAATTAACAGATACTGCTTGTTATAGAGATAAGTACTAGGTTGAAATATTGTTCATATAGAATACAAGAGGGAGGGTAGAAGTTTAACTTTTCCTGATTTTTTTATACTTTATTCCTGTTTTGTAACGCTTCTGTAAAACTCAGATAAGATTGCCTCTGCTTTTATATCTTAATGAAAAACATTGACCTATTTCTATTATAAAAGTGTAATCTTGTGGAGAATTCCATATTGCTAACAAAATTTTCTTATTTAATTGTGTGTCTTTTTCTTTCTGAAAGTTAAGAAGTATGGAAGAGCTGACTAAAGAAAAGAGATGGACCCATCACACAGCAGCAGCTCCTGTCACTGAAGAGAAACTGGCACAAATACAAAAAGAAATTGATGATCAAGAGGTCATTATTCAAGGTTATCAACAGGTATATCACATAGCATATTGAGCTGTGTTGTAGCCAGTTTCAGAAACAAAATTTTTTAATGGTTACTACTTTTCTGTTGAAAACAGTTATCTTGCTCTCTAAAAAGTAGATAAAATTTAGATGTGAAGGTCAAACATGTTGCACATTTTTAAAAAGTATTTCACACATGTCTAGTTTAGGGTAAGTTTTCCCACAATTCCATGTAACTGTTCTAAATTGTAAAAATATGCTGACTTGTCAGTCAAGAACTGGGAAAATACTTTATGGCCAATAAAGAACCACAAGCTTTTTGCCCCAAATGTAGTAGAAAACTAGTATTTTAAAGCAATATTAGAAATCTGGAGAGTTCTGTTTTTAAGATGTTTTTCACAGGATCTGAGCATCTGGTTTCAAGGAAACCTTATTAGTGTTCTTGATTTTTATTACTTAGTCCAGTGTAGAAATAGATAATGTAAGCTTAGTAATCCCTCTGAATACTTGTAGCTGGAAAATCAGGTAGGTTCGTTTAACCAGCTTCCAGCTGCTGCTCAGCAGCATTTTGTCATGTAGGCACAATGTCTTGGCAGTATGGCTGCGAGCATCCCGAATCAGTGATGGTTTGTGCACACAGGATTGGAGCACAGGCAGGCTAAGCTCAGATCTATCTATTAGAAACTATGCAAGTCATAGACAATTGGTTTGGAACTGGATAAAACAGTAATTTATGAACATTCTTTAAGTTGGTCTGTCTCATCCTAGGAAAATGAGAAGTTATACAAACAAATGAAAGAGCTACAGATCCAAAACAAAAAAAAGGAGGAAGAAATGTTTAAGGAGAATCAGTGTTTAATGTCTGAATTAATAGCCCTAAGGTAGGCTTAGTTAAACACCCAACCTAAAATCTCTGGAGTTTTCATCTGTGTTTATTATTTTTATCTATCACTGCAGACTCTGTCAGATGCATGTTTTCCAGTGTTTCTTGGGTTTGTTTTTTATTTTGAGAATTGATTTATGTTTATTGTGGGCACTTAATTATTAGTCTTTTTGCTGCTCTTCCAGACCTGTGGGAAGACTAGAGTTTTCCAATGGGGGACTATTTCAATGCTGAAATTCAAATATTCTTACTCACACCAGAGTGTAATACGTATGCTACGCTTGTTCTGCTATTATGGCTCTGCTCACGTATCAAAATATTTTTATACTGCTGTAAGATACGCAGTAGATCAGGGGCCACAAGAGATCCTGGTAGCGGAGGAACCATTAGATTCACCGCACTGTAGGTCCTGTCACGTTTGGATCCTATGCTCGGAATGAGGATAAAACCTAGCAATTGTGTGTATGCATAATTTTCAAATCTGCCATAGAGGTGAGTTTCACTGAGGCAGAGTAGGTTTTGTTTCCCTCCCTCGTGTAGTCCTAACAAACCAATTTGTGCAAGGTGAGCAGATTTCACCTTACAGGTGACATTTTTTGGTATAAAGATGTACTCCATAGTTGCTTCTTTCTTTGTTTTAAGCGTCCACAGATTGACTTTGTATTACCATTGGGGGGGGGGTTGTTTGCTTTTTAGTATGCCCCTGTTAGTACACCAAGTCACTGCATTTTACATGAATGTTTTTGCTGTTACTGTTTAGAGAAAAGATAGAGAAAACTAATAATATCCAGTCACGGATCATGCAGGATTCTGAACCAGCCAGAAATCAGAGTTTCACAGAATTGATTGCAGAGCTTCGAGCAGCACAGGTAGGTATATTTCAAGCCTGGTTTTCATGGGTTCTTAAAAGAAATAAAAAATAAAAAACGCATAACCATCCATAATGTAGACTAATAATATAAATGAAGAAAGTAGTGGAGCATGCTATTATTTGCCACACTTGTGCATCACAAATGTCTCACCAGATGAACTCTAGAAGAAAGACCCTAAGGCACAGATTGACTGAAAGAGGTGTCATGTTGCCATGTTTACTGGCAATTCTGAAATATCTTGTGAGAGCTTGCAGAAAGTAGTGATGCAGCTATAGCTTACCCACGTAAGACAAATCCAGAAGAGAGCTTAGCCCTGCTCTGTACCAAGTAAGTCATAGAAAAGAGCATCAGAGTGAAAGAAATGTTTTAGTCACTCATGTAACTTTTTTTTTGTAGTCCTACAGATGCTTGTGGTTTTGAGGGAGGATGTCCAGTAAGCTTCATGTTAAAATTACAGGTTTTCACGAACTTCTGTTGTTCTGCTTACTGCAAGTGGAGACTGTTGTGGTACATACTTCCTGTGATAGACCAGAAATTAAAAGCTGCTTTTTTTTTTTTTTTTTGTAAAATTTCAAGAAACCCCACTGGTTAGGTAGGTGATAAGA